ATCTGGAAATATGTAGGGTTTATCCGTAATAATCTAACCCCCATCACCAAGCCTGACACCTCAGAATCCACCTGTCGCTTGCTACACTAGAGTGAAAGCAGTTTTGGCGTCCGTGTGAAAACGTCAACATCAGGCCAGATAATCAATATAGCAGAGGCATGAAATGGCTGATATAATAGGCATTGTTTTCCTGTGTTTGACATATGATTCAAACACAGGTCAAATGCAAGTCAGCAGATGTCCATTGACTTTAAAGCTGTGTTTGGCCTGCTTTGCATTGTGTTACTGCAGATACAGCACATCCTATTTTGGTGCATTTGCACTGCAGAAAAGGCAGGTCAAATGTAGCCTTTTGCCTTGAAAAAGTATATTAACCCCCCTGTCGGTGTTCCCAAGTGTAGCTCGGGGTTAACTTTCAGTACCAGAAGCGGTAACCCCCAGCTACACTAGGGATTACCCTGCAGCGTTGCTCAGGGATTCCCTCGAGCACTTACCCTTCCTCCTGCGCTCCCGCGATGTCCCCCCTGCAGCGTCCCCAGCCATGTCTTCCGGCCGATGCCGGCATCCGTCTTACGGGTTCCATTCCCTGCGAAAAAATGTGGGAAGAAATTAAAAAATTTTAAGTGACATTCACTCAATACACTAAAATCTCATAGTATAACATTACTGTATCAAACCATTTCACATACATTTTGTCCCGAGTGCTTTGTCCTGTGCCCTGCCTGCATTTTTACTGTTCTTTCTGCCTGGAAACTGAGAAACGTCTATGGCGTCCCTTTTAGGTCAAAAGCGGTTTAGACCAGCTATAGAACAGCGATATTAAATTAGAACCACTTGCAGAATTGAGTGATAATGATTCGTGGGGGGAAATTCGTCATCAGACACTGAAAACGATTTTGTGACTAAGCTCAGTGATGTTTGAACTTGGAGCTCTATTTCAAATTTCAGTGTGTTTGGTTTGATTACATTATTGAATTAAATTTATTATATTTTTTATGATTTATTATATTATAATTTATGATTTTGTGTTTCAAATTTTATCATACCCGGGATGTTTACTAGACTCTTGTGCGGACAGATTTCATTGAGTTTATTCCTAAGAATTATAGGCCTACAATAAAAAAAAAAAACATATTTCCATGCAAAAAAATGTACCGCTTTGAGCACAGAAATACTGACATAATCATACCGCTAGGGAGGTTAAGGAGATCATGGGGGGGGGGGGGTTAAGAGTCTCCTCTTCCTCTACTAGTAGGTCTACTACATCTGAGGATAGAAAGGGTTCTGTTCTTCCCAGTCTTCCATTGCCAAGCGTAAAGCCAGCCATACACAGATCGAAATTTCGATCCATCTATGGCCAGGCTAGTTGTACTGAAGCCAATCTATCAATCCGCTTCAGTACAACCAGCCTGTTGGCTTTTTTTTTTCGTACAATCACTCCCGGTGGCTATAGCCTCCAGCAGTGATCATTGTATTCTGACAGTGGGGAAACCTCCCTCTGACTAAGGCCTTCCCATTGCACTATTTTATTCTGACAGAGTAACCACCAGGTTTTTGGTCACTGGTCTTACTGTGCTTCAGAGATCCTGTGTGGAGATGGGATAAAGTACCAGAAGGACAACCATCCCTGCAGCCCTCAACCGATCTAGGCTTTATGGCAGAGTGGCTAGATGGAAGCCTCTCCATCAGGTCCTTGGTCACCTCTCTTGCGAAGGCCCTTCTTCCTTGATTGCTCAGTTTGGCCAGGTGACCAGCTCTGGAAAAGAGTGCTAGTTTTGCCAAACTTCTTCCATTTTAGAATTATGGAGGCCACTGTGCTCTTGGGACACTTCTTTAGCCTTCCCCAGATCTGTGCCTTGCAATAATCTTGTCTCTGAGCTCTGTAGGCAGTTCTTTTGACCTCATGGATATTGTTCTGATACAATATTCAATGTCCGCTGTAAGGCCTTTTAGCCCAGGTTCACAATGATGTCACTTGTCATGCGATTTGATCGTTCAAATCACATGACAAATCAAATCCAATTATCAGCGATGGAACTGTATATAATTGGTGCGACTCCGATTTCGTTGGAGCCGCACCAATTTGAAAAGTAGTTCCTGTATTAATCAAAAGGGCCAAAACAATAGAATGGGACTTTTGAGGCACACCATTACACAATAAACGTCAATTTTATTTTTTATCCATATAAAAAAAAAGATCATATTACAACATTACTTTCTCTAAAATTGTTGCAACAATTTAGCATAATAAAACCTATATATCACTCATACGAAACGTCAGATTCAAGGAGTAATATATCAGAAGCTGGCCCAGTGCGAGTCCACTTCTTCAGGTGACAATCTATACATCAAATTTCTAAGAAATAACGGTGATAAAGATTAATACAAATTATCTAAATTGAATCAATATATTCAGCATCCTATTGGACAGTTCTAAAAAAAATTGTCCTAAAGCACCCAAGGGGGGAAAAGGGGGGGGCAGGAAAGGAGGGAAGAACAAGAAAGGGGGGGGGGGGGGGTAGACCAAGGGTGGGACACCCAGTGAAGACCCATAGGCAGGGTACCACTCCCCCCCCCCCAAAAAAAAATAATAATAATAAAGGAAAGACTTTCTCCTCAGTGCGACACCAACATATAAATTTATATAAATTCTAGGTGCCTCATGGTCTACATAATAAATAGTAATGTTTAATCCTTCCACAAAGTAACATTAGATAAAGACTAATTGCCATTTATTACCTGGGAGAGCATCCATAAACTGCCCATGAAATAGCCAGCAATAGCTAATCTGAGCCACTATCCGCCAAAAAAGTTTAAGGAGGACAATTGACCAAGTGCCATCCTATCATGGCAGACATCCAAAATATAACAAATACAACAATAAATGCTTAGATGTAGATGCGTTTGAGATATAGTAAGTAGTCTGGCACAAATGAGCCTACCTTAAAAATGCAAAGAATCTGCCCAAGGATTTTAGGCTTTCTATATCATTGTACCATGGTCCAAGATCAGATGGTTAGGATAAAGTAATAGTTCACCCCTCCAGGGGATCTATAACATAAAGCAGAAGTATAACATACAAGTACACCCATATAATATAAATCAAGGAAATCGTCATAGCAAGGCCCACCTTAAAACATCCAGAATATCCTGTCATACAGAGATAGATATACTGTACTTTTCCACAGTTTCAAAAAAGGGGATGTCCAAAATCTTCAATAACCACTTCAATGTCCTACAAGCTTTCCTACTAGTTCCTGCACTACTTTTGCCAATTTTCGGGTATAGGCATCTGTGCATGAAGTTGCAAAGATGTCTGCAGGTTGCATATACATGCGACTTAGAAATTGTGCAACTTCACTTGGAGTTGTGCGATTTCCAATTTGCATGCAGTGTGAACAGGGGATTATAGAGAAGTCTGTGCCTTTCCAAACCATGTCTAATCAATTTAATTTACCACAGGTGGACTCCAGGTGTAGAAACATCTCAGCAACGATCAAGAGAAATGGGAGGCACTTGATCTAAATTTCAAGTGTTGTTGCAAAGGCTCTGAATACTTCTGCCAATGTGATATTTCTGTTTATTTTTAATAGCTTCACAGACATTTTTTTTTAAAATTCTGTTTTTGCTTTGTCATTATGGGGTACTGAGTGTAAATTAACCCCTTGATGCCGATCGCACGCAAATATGCATGCAATTAAAAAATACATATGTGCTGAGAGCGCGCGCTCCAATAACATATGTCCTCTACTCCCGGAAAGGCCACAATCTCCCCTTTTCGATCAAGACCTTTTCCGATCATGTGACTGTGAATCATTGCGGTCACATGACCCTAAAAACCCCGCCTCCTGGCTTCTGAAACTCTTAAAGGGCCAGGGGGCGCCGGCACCAAGAGGTTAATGAGAAAAATTATTTAAACTGTAGTATCGGGCTGCAACTTAACAAAATTTGAAAAACAAAAAAAGGGGGTCTGAATACTTCATGAATGCACTGTAGATTTTACTGGCAAGTCAGAAGTCCTACTTTAAATGAGAAATAGCAGCCTCCAAGCCAACTTCCTTCTTAAAGGGATGTCAATTTCTTATGAAAGTACCAACATCATTTTTCCCCAGTCTCTTGTAGAATTTTAGCAGTGCTGGTAGAAAAACGTACCTGGAAACGAAATACGATGCGATTACTGACTTTCTCTGTAATGGACTCTATTGTAAATGATACAGGCCATTCACTGCAAGAAGCTTTTCTATAAATAAAGGATTAAAAAAAGAAAAAACCTACCTGGAATTTCTCCTTTTTCTTGGAATGATACCATTTTATGCTCTAGGACTCCTAGTTTCACGTATATTCCCAAGGAGAATCTCTCTAATGCATTTGCTATTACTTTGCAGAACACTTACAGATTTCTTTTCATCTGGAGAAATATCTGTTTTCAATCATGTATTGGCCAATTACTAATGGTAGTTCTTTTCCCCAATAAATAGCTTTCCATTTGTAGCAGGAGTGGAGGAATGCATTAATATGAAATACTGGTAGTAGTATCCCTTTAACCATTAGCATACAGGGCACTTATACTCCCTTCCTGCCCAGGCCAATTTACAGCTTTCAGCGCTGTCGCACTTTGAATTGACAATTGCGCGGTCAAACACCACTGTACCCATATGAAATTGTTATAATTTTTTTGTGACAGAGCTTTATTTTGGTGGTATTTAATCACCTCGGGGTTTTTTATTTTTTCTTAAACATACCAAAAACCACAGAAAATTTACCAAAAAAAAAAATGTTTTTTTCTTAGTTTTTGTTATAAAATTTTGTAAATAAGTGATTTTTTTTTTCCTTCACTAATGTGCTCTAATGAGGCTGCACTGATGGGCACTGATAGGCTGCACTGATGGGCACTGATAAGTGGCACTGATGAGGAGGCACTGGTAGGCATTGGCAACACTGATGGGCACTGAAAGGCAGCACTGACATGGCACTGATAGGCGGCACTGATGATAGGCGGCACTGATGGCACTGATAGGCGGCACACTGGCACTGATAGGCGGCACTGACTGGCACTGATGGGTGACACTGAAAGGCAGCTCAGATGGGCACTGATATGTGGCATTGATGTGCACTGGTAGGCACTGATATGTGGCATTGATGTGGTACTGATGGGCACTGGCACGAGGCACTGACATAAGGCACTGATGGACACTGACAGGTGGCACTGCTGGGGCCACATTGATCATCAGGGCACACTGATCATCAGTGCCCTGATGATCAGTGTACATGTCCACTCCGTGGAAAGCCGATTACCGGCTCTCCTCTCGAGCTGTCAGCGCGACAGCTCGAGAGGAGAGAAATTCCGATAACCGGCATTTCCCTGTTTACATGTGATCAGCTGTGATTGGACACAGCTGATCACATGAGTGATTAAAAAAAAAACCCGCCTTCCCGTGTTTGTGCACAAAGGCGAACGCAAGCATTGAACCTGTGTTGGTATGTAAACAGAGATTGCACCTTGCATGTGAGGTATCACTGCGAATGTCAGATCAAGGGTAGTAACTCTAACTAAACCTGTGTAAATATAAAGTGGTGACCTGTAAAGGCTTTTAAAGTGTCGCCTATTGAAGTTAAAAATTTACGTAGTTTGTCGCCATTCTACGGGCACTCACAAATTTAAAGCAATGTCATATTTGGTATTTGTCTATTTACTTGGTGTAACCTCATATTTTATATTTTATCAAACAATTGGGCAATATATCGTAATCGTTTAAATTATCGTTTAAAACAATCGGTGTGCAAATACTGTGTGACATAAAAATTGCCAGGATATTAGAAGCACCCATCCAAATGACCCCTTTTTGGAAAGTAGACACTTCAAGGTATTTGCTAAGGGGCATGATGAGTATTTTGCAAATCTCATTTGTTGCCACAGGTTTTTGGAAAATGAAGAAAGAAAACAAAAATATATTTTTTCTTTTTTCAAAACCCTGTGACAAAAATTATATCTGAAAAATACTCACTATGCCTCTTATCAAATTCCTTGGGATGTCTACTTTCCAAAAAGGGGTCATTTGGGAAGGGGGGGGGGGTTGTTGTACTATTCTAGCATTTTAGGGCCTCTGAAACTGTGATGGGTAGTGAGGAAGTAGTGATATGGGGATATATGCCCTTTTGAAAGCCTGAAAGTGGTCATTAGATTTTGGGGGCCTGTATGTGGTTAGGCTGCCAAAAAGTCTCTTATATGTGGTATTTCCATACAGTGGGGCAAAAAAGTATTTAGTCAGCCACCAATTGTGCAAGTTCTCCCACTTAAAAAGATGAGAGAGGCCTGTAATTGGCATCATAGGTAGACCTCAACTATGAGAGACAAAATGAGAAAAAAATCCAGACAATCACATTGGCTGATTTGGAAAGAATTTATTTGCAAATTATGGTGGAAAATAAGTATTTGGTCACCTACAAACAAGCAAGATTTCTGGCTCTCACAGACCTGTACCTTCTTCTTTAAGAGGTTCCTGTGTCCTGCACTCATTACCTGTATCAATGGCACCTGTTTGAGGTTGTGGACAGGTGTCTTGTATACTGATAACAAGTTCAAACAGTCACACTCCAAACTCCACTATGGTGAAGACCAAAGAGCTGTCGAAGGACACCAGAAACAAAATTGTAGACCTGCACCAGGCTGGGAAGACTGAATCTGAAATAGGCAAGCAGCTTGGTGTGAACAAATCAACTGTGGGAGCAATAATTAGAAAATGGAAGACATACAAGACCACTGATAATCTCCCTCGATCTGGGGCTCCACGCAAGATCTCACCCCGTGGGGTCAAAATGATCACAAGAACGGTGAGCAAAAATCCCAGGACCACACGGGGGGACTAGTGAATGACCTGCAGAGAGCTGGGACCAACGTAACAAAGGCTACCATCAGTAACACACTACGCCGCCAGGGACTCAGATCCTGCAGTGCCAGACGTGTCCCCCTGCTTAATCCAGTAGCTGGCTTAAGTTTGCTAGAGAGCATTTGGATGATCCAGAAGAGGATTGGGAGAATGTCATATGGTCAGATGAAACCAAAATAGAACTGTTTGGTAGAAACACAACTCGTCGTGTTTGGAGGAGAGAGAATGCTGAGTTGCATCCAAAGAAACCATACCTACTGTGAAGCATGTGGGTGGCAACATCTTTCTCCGCAAAGGGACCAGGATGACTGATCCATGTACAGGACAGAATGAATGGGGCCATGTATCGTGAGATTTTGAGTGCAAACCTCCTTCCATCAGCAAGGGCATTGAAGATGAAACGTGGCTGGGTCTTCCAACATGACAATGATCCCAAACATACCGCCCGGGCAACGAAGGAGTGGCTTCGTAAGAAGCATTTCAAGGTCCTGGAGTGGCCTAGCCAGTCTCCAGATCTCAACCCCATAGAAAACCTTTGGAGGGAGTTGAAAGTCCGTGTTGCCCAGCGACAGCCCCAAAACATCACTGCTCTAGAGGAGATCTGCATGGAGGAATGGGCCAACATACCAGCAACAGTGTGTGCCAACCTTGTGAAGACTTACAGGAAACGTTTGACCTCTGTCATTGCCAACAAAGGATATATAACAAAGTATTGAGATTAACTTTTCATATTGACCAAATACTTATTTTCCACCATAATTTGCAAATAAATGCTTTCCAAATCAGCCAATGTGATTGTTGGATTTTTTTTCTCATTTTGTCTCTCATAGTGGAGGTCTACCTATGATGCCAATTACAGGCCTCTCTCATCTTTTTAAGTGGGAGAACTTGCACAATTGGTGGCTGACTAAATACTTTTTTGCCCCACTGTACTTGGGAGAAGTAGCAGAATTTGTTTAGAGGCATTATTCCACATATAGCCATGGCATACATGAGCAATATATAATTTTATTGACAACTTTGTATAAAGAAAAAAAAAAAGGATTGTCATTTTCCCAAAATGTGTTGCAAAATAAAATCTTCAATGGATGCACCATGCCTCTCAGCAAATTCCTTGGGATGTCTACTTTCCAAAAAGAGGTCATTTGGGTTTTTTTGCACTGTCCTGGCATTTTAACACCTCAAGGAATGTGATAGGCAGTCAGAAAGTAAAAGCTGTGTAATTTCCAATATCTATACCATAGTTTGTAGACACTATGGGGTTTATTTACTAAAGCTGGAGAGTCCAAAATCAGACTCCCTTCTGCATAGAAACCAATCAGCTTCCAGGTTTCATTGCCAAAGCTTCATTGAACAAGCTGAGGTTAGAAGCTGATTGGTTTCTATGCAGAAGGGAGTCTGATTTTGGACTCTCCAGCTTTAGTAAATAAACCCCTATGACTTTCACACAAACAAAATAATATACACGTATTGGGTTTTTTTTTTTTCACCAAAGACATGTAGCAGAATACATTTTGGCCTAAATTTATGACCTAGCTTTGAGTTTAGTGGATATTTTATAACCAAAAGTAGAAAATCTTTTTTTTTTTTTGTGCAACATTTTTGGAAACTTTTTTTTATCACAAAAAATAAAAAAAACAGTGGTGATCAAATACCAACAAAATACAAAATAAAGCTCCATTTGTATGAAAAAGAGGATACAAATTGCGTGTGGGTACAGTGTTGCATGACTGCACAATTACCATTTGAAATAGCGCAGTGTTGAATAGCAAAAATAGCCTGGTTATGTGGGGGGGGGGGGGGGTAAATCTCCTGGAGGGCAAATGGTTAATATTCTTCCCAGCTGTTAGCTTTGTTCTTTGTGTTAGTATGTTATCAAAGAGATTAGTCTGCCCTAATTATCCAGCTGGTAACCACTGATGTCAGAGCGTGCGTATTGTACATTTAGTTAAACCAATTCAGACAGCTTTTGTGCGTAGAGGTGCTCAAAGGGAGGTGGATCTCTTTTGGTGGAAGTATCTGAGTAGAGATTTTCTTCTAGAAAGCATTTTCACATATTAAAGCTGAACTCCAGGCAAACCGCTAAATACAGAGATTAGATACATATACTGTAAGAGAGCCACTTTACCTGCCAAACCATTTGTATTTCTGCCCATCCAGTCTTAATATTTACACAGCTGTGTCACACAGCACAGCCTTGTCTGGTGGACAAGAGACCTGATCCTAGCCTGTAAAAATGATTAATGAACAGAAGTGTGTTCATTTGTGTCTTTTTTTTTTTTTTTTTTTTTTTTTTTTTTTTTTTATTATTTCTGCCTAGAGTTCAGCTTAAGATCAAAATTCCATGTATGTTTATACAGTACTGCTGCCTTTTTTTTCTTCCATGGTAAATTTTGTTAAAATGTAATATATACTTGGATGGATAGTTAATGGTTAACCTTATGCACATTCTTCACCACACTTCTGTTGATTAGATAGGTGCACCTATCTAGAGTAAAGAGAGGCCATTTATTGATGAAATATGTTAACCTTCTATAATGAATGTGTCTTCATTAAAAGGGAACTTTACCATAAAAAAAAGTTGCCAGCATATCTAGGTTTTTTTCTATAAAGACATTCTCTTCTCCCAGAAAAGTTTCTATTTATGCTTTAAATGAAGTGAAGCTTAGTGTCGGCATGATATGACTCCCATTACGCATGTGCAGGGGTTTGGTAGTGACAAGCTTTCCTGTTCTTCCCAGAGGAAGATGTCTGCAATAGGAGAAGCTTCCTGGAAGATGTATAGTGGTGAGGGAGGGCACAGAGCTGCATTGTGGGGAAACGAGTCAAATTTAAAAATACATTGGCATAATGTGCAGGTATGCTGTTCAGCCAAGCATGCTTTATAGCAGCACACAATGGTTCATCAAGGACCCCTCAGTGAATTTTGCATTTTAAGAAATTGTGTTCTTTTATAGTTGTGTGACTCTTTGTAGATTCCTTGGACATTACATCTTTCTCTACACAGGATTGTGGGGTTTGCACTCTGTGTATATTAATCTAATAGGGTCTGTATGTAATCAAGCACTGTAAATGAGGATTAGTTTATTTCTTGTTGCCTAAATCAAAGCCCGTAAGGTCTAAAAATTATTTTTGGTGAATGTGCCTAAAATCTAAACTTTTTTTTTTTTCGTTTTCTGGGTGATTTCACGCATTACATTGATTATCTTTTTTTTTGCTCAGGTCGGCAACTACAAGCGCACAGTGAAGAGGATAGATGATGGTCACAGACTGTGTAATGATTTAATGAACTGTATCCACGAGCGGGCGAAAATTGAGAAGGCGTACGCCCAGCAGCTCACAGAATGGTCCAAGAGGTGGAAGCAACTTGTAGAGAAAGGTTAGGACACATGCAACCTCCTGTACTGGGCTGTGACACATTGGCATAAGGGTTGATCAAATGGCAGCCTTTTTTTTATTTAATTAGTATTGATACAATTTTAGTGTGGCCATATTGGTTTACCAAGCTTGAACTTGCGGCTGTACAGATGTTCCTTTTGAGGGCAGTGGCTAGTTTTTTAAAGTATCGCATATTGAGTACTGTCTGTGATATTTTTTTTTTTTTTTTTTTTACGTGCACTAGCAGTCAGACTTTCAGGACAAGCTTTTAGGGTGTGCCATCTTTTAAGGTCCAACCAGTACTGATACTCAACGTTTTAGAAAAATGTTACGTAGAATAATCTCTGGGGGGGGGGGGGGGGAAGAGGGACATACATACATGCATGCATGCATAAATACACAGTCATGTTAATCAAACTGGAATATTTGGTGATACTACGAAAGGTTTGGGCTATAGAATGGGGGTGGAGGAACAGTCACAGAGATGAGTGGTCATAAAACTGTAGGATAGTGATATAAAAGATTGAGGTCCACGTTTACTCCATTAACATATGTGTTTCAAATGCTTGTTTTCCTTTCTTGCGTATTTGAAAAGATACTCAATTGTTTTAGTTGTTTCAAGAAGTCTAATATGGCTGCAGTTGTTGAAGTATTGCATATATTTTGTATTTCCATTGAGAAAAGTGAATGAATCCCCAGTGTGCAAGCACCATATTTACTCTGTGGCTCAGTGTGGGAAGAAGATTGCAGATTTCCAGGAGTGAGCAAGGACGGGCACATGTCCAAATGCCTTAACTCCGTGGCAACAAAACTACATTGATGTGGCCAGCACGGTTATACCAAAATATAGCCTCTATCTGCCAGCCATGCCCAGCTACATTTGATAAAGTGCGACATTCCTTGTTAAATGCATTGCTGTACATTTACAATGCTCTGTTTTTGGCCCATTTTTTCACTATGGTATAAAAACAGATGAGAAGAGGGGAAGAAGTTGAGTCAACTTAAGAACATTTATTACATGACTGTGATTTTTCCTGTTCATTGAAATGGTTGTTTTATTGAACTGCTATATTCAACTTGGTGGCTGTTGCAGGTCCACAGTATGGCACAGTGGAAAAGGCTTGGAATGCATTGATGACAGAAGCAGAAAGGGCCAGTGAGCTCCACCTTGAGGTTAAAAACGCTCTAATGAATGATGACTTTGAAAAGGTGAAGAACTGGCAAAAAGAGGCCTATCACAAGCAGATGATGGGAGGATTTAAGGAGACCAAAGAAGCTGAAGACGGTTTCAGGAAAGCACAAAAGCCATGGGCAAAGAAACTCAAAGAGGTAAAAAAGAATATCCTACAGCTGGTTGGGTCGGTCCCTTCAGGTCACTAGGAATGTGGAGCTGGTAATGGGTGGGGCACGTTTTTGCTTTGTAACAAAACCTCATAGTTTGGAATTCCATTCCTCACAAATCTTGCAATGTATATAAACCCTTCCAATGAACCTCTCCAGTTTGCTCCCTTTTGCAATTCATCCAAAATGGCCAAATGCTTAATTCAGAGCTCTGAATGTCAGAGGATGATGATGCACACACTGTATTTCTTTTAATTCAAGTAGTGCTAGTACCCAAATTTGACTTGGTATCCACCTCATGCAGCCCCTGAATCCTTGTATAAAATTCAGATTGGTAGAGCAAGAAATAGCACAGAGTCACTTAACTGTGGAAAAAACATGCTTGTATGAGAGAGCAGAGAGATAAGCTAATCACTCTGATTCTTCTCCTTTTACTGTCCAGTTAGACTGAGGGAGGAAAATAACCGTTAAGCCAGCCATAGATGGATCAAAGCTCCAGCACACAGTCTATGATTGACAGCCTCGATCTGTTCTTTTGTGCTATATGAAGGCGGGTGTGTCCTTTACCACCTCCCTGAGCTCTGTAGAGTGCAACATCAGCAAAGCTGCAGGCATCATATTTATTATTATTATTATTATTATTATACAGGATTTATATAGCACCAACAGTTTGCTCAGTGCTTTACAAATATAACGGGAGAACAATACAGTTCAATACAAGAGGGTTAGGAGGGCCCTGCTCCTTGGAGCTTACAATCTAAGAGAATCATACCGGTGTAACCACAATGTTCTGGTATGTTGCTGGTCGGAAGCAAATTTCTTTTTTTTTTTTTCTTTTAACAATTTTCTATTGATTAGGGAGGCCAACAATTGGTGCTAGAGCTGCTTGTGAGCTGTTTGTTATATGTACTATTTCCATCTGTTTTAACTGAACTAGAGAAAAATTGGGTCTCCTGCTAGACAGGACTTTGCTATGTAGCTGAGCTTTGTATATCTCAGAACTGGATGACTGGAAATACAAATTCTCAGGTAAAGCAGTTCCCATGCACAATATGTTATGTATATAATTAGCAGTTTGCCTGGAATCCAGCTTTAAGATTATTCAAAATATTATAACTGAATGTTAGCCGGGCTCCTCCTCTATAGCAGCACGCATGCCTTGTTTCTCCCACGGCTTCTTTGCAAAAAAGATAGACCTTTCTTATTACTGTTTACATACCTTAGACTGGAACGACATAAGAATTGGTCTTTAGTTTTCCATTTGTGTTTGGCTTTCTGCAATGGAAAAACAAGCACAGGTGAGAAATTAAATAGAATTAGGTAAATGAAGTCTTTGTGTAACTAAAATCTTAAAGTAGAATGACTTTTAAATGCTTGTAAAAATATTGTTTTTTAAAGTTTGAATACAGTGAAAATGGGTATAAAATCCCACCTGGATTTTATTATTGTCTTTGTCGTTGTCCCTCTGGGGATTTTCTGCTCTAAAGCTGAACTCCAGGAATTATCTGTGTAGTATACTTATATCAGTCGGGCTTGGCACAATGTAAGTATGCAAATCTCATACCTGATGGGCTGCTGGGAAACCTTAAAATCATTGCAGGAGATGAGCTTACATTATGAAAAGTTCAATCAAAGTAAGTATGCACTACACATTGTTCCTGGATTTCATTATTAACAGATTTGAGCTGAACCTGCTAACTCCTATCTCAGGAGAGCCTGCTTTTTTTCGTGAAGAATCCACTAGGGGCCTATGACTCCATAATTCTGATGTCACTAGCCCCCATCCCCCCACCCCCTCACCCCTTCCTGAGTGCATTCTACGCAGGAATATGGAGAATGGCCTCTGGAGATCGCTGAGGCAGGGAAATCGGCTGAAATAAAAGACCTGACTTAAACTGATTGGAGTAGGGTGGTTAAATGACCCTAACATAGTCAACGCAATTAATCAGATTTTGTCAGGAGTTTCACTTTAATGTCCCACAGCTTAACCATAGTTTCACTTTACATATTCTTAACATACTAAATGAGACTTAAAACAATCTTTTGCTAACCTTTTATAGCTGCAGGCACTGAGGAGCAATTCATCTTCAAAATTCACAGAACCTTTGTTACCCCAGTGGAACCCTTAACATTAGAGTGCCCCCATTACAGTGGCTGTCCAAATGCCACCCTTACAGATTCTATTGTCATGTTGCTGGTTCTGCTAAGTGACATTGTACCCAGACCTATGCAGGCGTCATCAGATGGGGAATTCAATCAGTCTCCGCTTAAGGAACACCTAGAAAGCCCTGGTGAACCCTAGTTAAAAATTGCTGCATTAGAGGCTAGTCTTGCCATAGCAAGTTTGTCAGCAGCTTAGAGCACCTGCTCTCTGCTTAGATTAGAAAGCTGGTAAACCGCTGTTGAGAGGGAGCAGGGGGTGATGAGCTGAGGATATAATTTTCCTGCTGGGAACTTTGGAGAGAAATTCATCCTCAGTGACTACAGTTAGAGGTCAGTAAGGGATTGTTTGTATTTTTTTTTTCCAGAAAATTTACAAATCTACCCTCATGTATATGTAGATACTTGAATATCCATAGCCTGACCATAGGTTCACTTAATTTAAAAAAAATAAAAAAAGTTTTAACTAAATTGTTTATATTTAAGTGGCCATTGTGGTTTTGAGAACTCCAGCAATCATGGGGAAGTGAAGCAGCTTATTGGTTGTTAGGTGTAGTTCATGACTTCAAAATTAAGAATGTCAAAAATATTATATCTGGTTCTCCAATCTGTCTAGGTGGAAGGAGCCAAAAAGGCATACCATGCTGCATGCAAGGAAGAGAAACTGGCCATCTCCCGGGAGACCAACAGTAAAGCTGACCCAGCCCTCAACCCGGAGCAGCTAAAGAAACTCCAGGACAAAGTGGAGAAGAGTAAGCAGGACTCTCAGAAGGTAACGGATGTGCCAGCTAATCTTCCTCTGCTAGTATTTGTTCAGGAAATCTTCCAGTTGTATTCAAATCTAGTGGCGTACTGTACTGATGTAACGCCCTGCAGAGCAAACACACAGTGTAATGTGCACACTGTACAAACTTTCTTTCCATTGTGGTGTAATTTATGCATTCGGGAACAATGCAGTGATGGTGATTCTTAAAGATAACTCTATAGAAGAAGTAGAAAACTCTAAACTTACCCCGACTGCTCCTGATTGGAGGCTGTGTTTTGGGTAGACCCACCACCACAAATAGTTTGTTTTTAAAAGAACAGCTGGGAATTTGATTTCCAAAAAAAACAAAAATGTTCATTAATCGCTCACAAAGTCGTCACTGAATACCCACATTTTGCAATCCCGTCATCTGCCTTAAGTGTCCTGCTTATAATTCCAAGGCAGTGGAATTCCATGGGTAAAGCGCAAAAATATGTAAAATATAAAAAAATATAAATATAAAAAAATATAAAAATAATAAATGACTGCATTAGGGCTGCACAGATACCGGTATCAGAACTCACGAAAATGCACTGGTACTAAACATTGATACCTTCAGGCTTGTTTTTTCAGCTGTCAGTGGGATTCCCCGCTGACTGCTGAAATTTAGACAAAAGAATGCCAGCAATTATCGGTTGTTAAGGAGCAAGCCGCCGTATCCTTACAACCAATGACTCAAACCCCATAGCCATTCCTACTTGTCATACATAGCTGCCTACTAAATCTGGTCGGCTGGTCATACCCTTCTCCTTTTATCTGTCACGGCTGCCTGATGACTCCCCGCATCCTCCTGCTTTCCTCTCCCATCCCACTATGAGGGTGGTCCCTCTCATCACTCGCACACAGCTGTCGAGGAGGACATGGGATGAAGGAGATGGGACTGGATGAGGACATGGGATGAAGGAGATGGGACTGGAGGTGTCTATGGGACGAATGAGATGGGACTGGAGGTGGACATGGGATGGAGAAGGAGGGCATGGGCTGGTGGAGATGGGATTTAGAAGAGGAGTAGGACATGGTATGGAGGAGGACAAGGGATGGGGGAGATGAGACTGGAAGTGGAGGACATGGGATGGGTTAGAGTAGGAGGACATGGGATGGAGGAAATGGGACTGGAGGAGGAGGACATGGTATGGAGGAGATGGGACTGGAGGAGGAGATGGGACTGGAGGAAGAGGACGACATGTGATGGTGGAGGTGGCTATCATTATCATCTATCCTACTCCTACTTTAGGTTCATTCCTCCTTCCTTTGCTACCCCACTGTACAGTCATCCCAGCCATCCCACCCCCACCCCTCTATCCCAACCCCCACCCTCGATCCCAACCGTGGCATGATTTCCCCACCCCTTACCCACAGCTCCTTTTCCACTTACCTTTTCAAGGCAATGGGTATCAGCAACTGGTATCGGCAAGACTGCACGTAACCTTTGTTTTTTTTTTTTTTTTTTTTTTTTTTTTTTTTTTAGGAAACTAGTTCTCAGTGATGTTTGGAGGCTTAGGTACACTATAGACCAGGCCCAGATTGACCATAGGGCACACTGGGCATTTAGATAGGGGAGGCAGCCGGGCAGCACATAGAGGACCATGCATTTCTCAATACCGCTTTGTGCCGCCCGGCCTCCTCTCCTATCCATCCCCTGCATGCAGTCGGCTCCTGTATGCTCCCCCGCAGCTGCCCCTCATATCCTCCAATGTTGTGGGGGATCTGTCAGCATATTCCGTGCCCAGTGCTGACAGTTTCCCGTCCACCACAGATGGAAGAGTAGAGAGACAGATGCCCCTCCTCCTCTGTCTGCCCTGCCAGCCCCCCCCCCTCTCGCTCTCTCTCCCCCCTCTCGCTCTCTCTCCCCCCCCTCTCGCTCTCTCTCCCCCCTCTCGCTCTCTCTCCCCCCTCTCGCTCTCTCTCCCCCCCTCGCTCTCTCTCCCCCCCTCGCTCTCTCTCCCCCTCTCGCTCTCTCTCCCCCCCTCTCGCTCTCTCTCCCCCCTCTCGCTCTCTCTCCCCCCCCTCTCTCGCTTCTCTCCCCCCCTCTCGCTCTCTCCCCCCTCCTCGCTCTCTCCCCCCTCCTCGCTCTCTCCCCGCTCCTCACTCTATCCCCCCCTCTCGCGCTCTCCCCCCTTCCCCCCCTCTCCCCCCTCGCTCTCCCCCCCGCCCCTCGCGCTCTCCCCCGCCCCTCGCGCTCTCCCCCCTTCCCCCCCTCTCGCCCCCCCCCCCTTGCTCTCTCCCCCCCTTCCCCCCCCTCTCGCTCTCCCCCCCCTCCATTGCCCCGTCCACCGTCCCTTTGATGCGGTGCAGTTGTCCGGTCCCCTTAGCAGAAAAACACCCCCAAAGCAGAATGTTTCCACCACCATGTTTGACATTTGGGATGGTGTTCTTGGGGTCATAGGCAGCATTCCTCCTCCAAACACGGAGAGTTGAGTTAATGCCAAAGAGCTCGATTTTGGTCTCATCTGCACAACACTTTCAACCAGTCCTCCTCTGCCTCATTCAGATGTTCAGTGGCAAACTTCAGACGAAACTGGACGTGTGCTTTCTTGAGCAGAGGGACCTTGCGGGCACTGCAGGATTTCAATCCTTGTCGGCGTAGTGTGTTACCAATTGTTTTCTTGGTGACTGTGGTCTCAGCTGCCTGGAGATCATTGACAAGATCCTCACGTGTAGTTCTGGGATGATTCCTCACTGTTTTCATGATCATTGACACTCCACGAGGTGAGATCTTGCATGGTGCACCAGACCTAGGAAGACTGACAGTAGTTTTGTGTTTCTTCCATTTGCGAATGATTGCACCAACTGTTGTCACCTTCTCACCAAGCTGCTTGGCGATGGTTTGGTAGCCCAGTCCTGCCTTGTGTAGGTCTACAATTTTGTCCCTGACATCCTTGGACAGCTCTTTGGTCTTTGCCATAGTGGAGAGTTTGGAATCTGATTGTTTGATTGCTCCTGTGGACAGGTGTCTTTTGTACAAGTAACAAACTGAGATTAGCAGCACTCCCTTTAAGAGATTGCTTCTAATCTCAGCTTGTTACCTGTATGAAAGACACCTGGTAGCCAGAAATCCTGCTGAATGATAGGGGATCAAATACATATTTCCCTCATGAACATGCAAATCAGTGTATAATTTGTTAGACATGCAGTCCCTAACTCACATTCATACCTACACATACTAGGGACAATTTAGACAGTATCCAATTAACCTACCAGCATGTCTTTGGAGTGTGGGAGGCAACTTGAGTACCCAGAGTAAACCCACACTGGCACAGGGAGCACATGCAAACTCCAGGCAGGTGGTGCCTTGGCTGGGATTCAAACCAACAACCCTAGTACTGCCAGGCATAATTGCTAACCGTTTAGCCACTGTGCTGCTTGAAATTACTTTTTGGTGTGCCCTCGCATGACAAAGCTATTGTAATGTGTGTGGCTGACTTTACTCTTGCTGATAAGATGTGAAGCTCTACAGCTTTGGTGTAGAGCTGAAGGCATGGCCTATTGGGGAAATCCCCAAACTCAAAGATACAATCATCTAGAAGGCCAAGCAGTGCCTTGTGATTTCCCTACAAATAGCTGGAGCTCACAATCAGACAAAGAAGAGCTGTACTGCTGTTTTCTCCCTTGTGCATCTGTGCCTAACAGGATCACAAGTTGGATGATATTTAAAGCTGAACCATAAGCAGATAAAGCAGATATAACAACACAAATTCAGCTCTGTATAATAATTAAATGTATCTTTTAATAAAATAAGTGTAAGTACCTGAATTTTACTTCGCATTAGCCTCTTGCACTATGTGTACAACAGGGCTGAAGTGCAAGAGGATGAAGCAGTACAAGGACCCAATCAATTCCTGTGCTGACCAGAAGCATGCTGATAGGAGGAGAAAGTGTGACAGAGATGAACTGATCGCTGCTTTTTTCTTTTTTTTTTTTTTTAATGTAAAGTCCAGTCACAGTTGGGGGGTGGGTCTAGGATGAACTGGGCTGGAGGAAGTCAGTTGAATGATGTCAGCCATCAGACTTAGGACATCTATTGGCAGAACAAAACATACATTGCGGATGATTGAAGATGAATTTTGCAGCAAAAGCTGACTTTGTTATTTTTTAACTTTTATTAGGCTGTTAATTTTATGTTTGGTTAGAGTTCTGCTTTGGTTAAAGTGGTTGTGAAGACTGAAGGTTTTTTTTATCATCATGCATTCTATGCTTAAGATAAAAAAAACCTTTTGTGTGCCGCTCCCCTCACAGCCACCCCTAATAGTCACCTGAGCCCCTCTTGATCCAGCGAAGTGCTCCCTCTCCTCATTGACTGAGGCAGCACAGGAAACCATTGGCTCCCACTCCTGCCAATCACAGCCAATGAGCCACAGAGGAGAGAGTGGTAAGACAGACTGAGCTGTCTTACGGACACATAGAGCAGGGCTCGGGAGCGAGCATTCACCAGTGCCTCCATAGCAAGCTGCTTGCTATCTGTGGTACTGGTGAAGAGAGAGGTGCCTGGAGCGGTGGCAGGGGACCCGAGGAGAGGTGGATTGGGGCTGCTGTATCTAAAACCATTGCACAGAACTGGTAAGTACATGTTTGCATTTTTTTTAATACCATTTTAATAGGTGTGGTGGTTTTGTTTTGTTTTTTTTTTTTTTTTTTTTTTGAGATAAAGTTTTTGTATTTTAATATCCGATCAGAACTTTGATTTGAGAGTATTTGCCCCCTTTTTTTTGTCACAGACCAAAGAGAAATATGAGAAGACTTTGAAGGACCTGGATGGCTCCACCCCACAGTACATGGAGAACATGGAGCAAGTGTTTGAACAATGTCAGCAATTTGAAGACAAGAGACTGCGGTTCTTCCGGGACTTACTGCTGGATGTTGAAAAACACCTTGATCTGTCCAACCTGGAAGGGTGAGGCAAAAGTTAAAACAACAACACACTAAATGCTGTTTTTATACATATACAAATGCCTACTAAGTTACCTGAATAGTATTCTCTGCTTCAGAATTCACCTTTTTCTAACTTGCTGCCGTGTCCGAGTGTAAAATCTGTTTTGTTTTTTTTTTTTTCTCCTCTGAACTTTTTTTAATACAAGCGGCGTTCCCTGCACTCACCTCTCCAGTTACATCATGAAATGTTTTCTCTGGTCATTTTTTAGCAAGCTTAGTACCAGCATGAACGTCTCTGCAGAAGGTTCAGCTTGCTTAGTGTCAGGTAATGGACTGAGGCTGGCTGTTTGTTTGGCTAAGGGCCTTGATATCAATGTCTGTGTCTGAAAAGCCAGCAGAAAATGGGCAATAATATGGGCATTGCTGGATATTGGTCTATCTCAATGAACATTGATCAAATGCGTAAATACATATTTCTGTTACTAGACCCAGGAACTGAGAGTGTAATTTATTCTAAAGTTTGTCTGTGCCTGGGTTACTAACCCTTTATGGTGCTAGAATGGTGCCAAGTTTTTTACAGCTATCCATAGCTCCCATAGAAACATTTTCTGTCATGGTGACAACTATACAAAAAGTAAGGGGAAAATCTGCAACAGGAGCATGGACAATGGCAGAAAAAAAGAGGTTGTAAGCTTTTTTTTTTTTACATCACTAAACAAGAAAGATTTTATTTGTCACTACTGGAGAGTTGCTCACACTTCTGTCTTCAGATTTCGTGTGCTATACAGTATAGGTGGAATGCCAGAGAGGCCTTGCAAGTTTTACAATGCTAGAAAAATGTACGTAGCTTTAAGAATGTCTTATAGATGTGTGTTCTTCTCATCAGCTATTCCAGCATATACCGAGATCTAGAGTATGCAATCAAGTCAGCTGACGTTCCAGAGGACCTCAAATGGTTCAAGAACAATCATGGTCCAGGGATGACAATGAACTGGCCACAGTTTTGAGGTGAGAATTAGTATTAACCCTTTCACTGCTAGAGCCAGTTTTGCATTCCTTGTGCATGTTTAAAGGCACGTTTTTTGGTATTAGCGCAGCGGTTTATCAAGTGCAAATTTTTCAGCTAACTTTTCTCAAACTTTTTTGAGGGATTTTAAGTTCACCTCTCGGAACATGTTACATATTTCACCCATTTTTAGGGTGGAATATGTAACATGTTCCCGCTAACCCCCTGATGAAATTGTGGAGTGATTTGCCTGCCTTTCCATCTTGGCCAATTGGTGGAAAGGTTTGTATTTTTCAATAAAATAAAAGGCTTCTCCTGAACTAGCAGAGAAGCACTCTTCTGATTTAATTCCAGCAGCAGATGGGAAGTCACCGAACTGCTACCAGAACACTGCATCACTTTGGCCTCGTTCACACCATATGTACAGAAAAAAACGATGGAAACTGACGTACAGATTTCACTTGTAGAGACATTGGTTTACATCAGTTTTCATGTGCATTGCTATGAGTTTTATACACGTTGCAGATTCCTGCGCAGAAGAAATCTGAACACGATGCTAGTGTTGTGGTTTGAACAGGGCTCATAGAGAACTGATTTCGTTGTGACCTTGCAGAGCACGTGCAGAAATATTGATGTCTCTGCACCATGGTGTGCACGAGCCCTAACTGTATGTTACTAATGCTACTGCAGTCCATCACAGCACACACAGCCGCATCATTCTGTAATGGAAATAGTTTGTTGATTAAATCTGCTGTCAGGGTATGAGATATGTGTCAGTGGCAGTAAAACGGTTAATGGCTTTTACAGTTTGCCTAATTTATTTGTGCTGGAGGAATACAGGAAAATTTCTTTGCAGAGTACATAGAAACATGCACACAAGTAAATAATGTGCTTAAAGCTAAAATCTGGAAATTCCACAAAAACACCTTTTGAAATATGCCCTTTCTGTACTACAAGGGTTAAATACTCATTAAGTCTAGGGATAAAGAGGAATAGGGACAGGTTCTTGACATCTGTACAATACAGTACTGCTGATCTTTCATAGTTCATGGCACTGCAAGGGAGTTTTTGTGTAATTTTTGCAGAGTTCATCTTTAAAGTGATACTAAACCCAGAACCCCACATTCCCTATATCTGATCTCCTGCAATACACCGAACATGGAAGTGCAATTATTTTAGTAAATATAAACCGCTAAATACCTTTTCTCATCAGCAGTTAGAGCAGTCTTGTTACTTCTATCAGTGTTCAGCAGAGCACTGGTTAAAGCTTTTAGGAGTTTTCTTTCTGCTCTAGAAGGATGCAAAACCCCTGACCTTTGTCTGGATAGTGCTGATTGACACTGTGCTGATCTCATGCACTCTCCCAAGTAAAAAAGAAAAATCTCTCTAACAATACACACTAAACTGAGCATGTGCAGAATGGCTATGGGTTCAGTCTGTCTTATCAGGAGATAAGATGTTGGACATTTGAAGAGGAGGAGCAGAGAAATCAGGGTCAAATGGCATTTTTACCCAATGCAGAGGATTAACCCCTTAGGTTCCACAGTAAGTATAACAAGCATGCTTTACTGCATATATAGACTGATTTTACTGTTGTGGGTTTTAGTAACACTTTAAAGCACCAATCCATCCATAAGGTGATATTTTATACTAGGATTTAGCCTGGTGGGCTCCTTATATGACTTGGATACTCAAACAGCAAAGTCTTTCTAACATTTTTCTGAACTCTGTTCCTGTCCACCTGGGAATTGTGTGCTCCAACCCACTTCTGTGTGTTATAGCCCCTTCTGTTACATTCTCTATAAAATAAAATGAATAAAAAATTCAGTACAGTAGGAGCCCCTCATAATGGGAATTGCAGGTGTGCAGACCCATGTAATCGGAGCAAAGACCTCACTAATAGAATCCCCAAGAGATATGAGAAACTGTCAGGTTGGGAATCCCTCTAACAAACACTAAAATATCAGTTTTTGGGTGGCCTTGCCCTTTAATACACCCACCACAATGAAATAGACACACACGTGATGCTTTAAGGCTACAGTACTAATGTTTGCCTTCTAGTATCCTAGTATTGCTGCCTTTGTAGTGTGCCCTCCTTTCTGCTTAAATAAACATTTTGGTAGACTGGGGCATCTATTGTACGTCCTCTGTTAGCAGCCCTTCTAGAACAGGCCTGTGTATAATCCAACAAAGCCCAGAATTCTCTAGCAATGTGCTGAGCCTTCACACAATCCAGCTCTGACGTCACGTTGATCCCCCAGCAATGCAGAGAACTGGACAGGACGCAGTTACCGCCCTGCTCTTCGATGACAGATCAGAGACTAGCTGTGGCGTTGTCACAGATGAACAAGAGTAAAAGGGGCGGTCACTGTAACATCCTTTCTACCTAATCACTTAACCCTTTGCTTCATGGGACGGCAAGATGAGAAAAGAACTGAATGCCAGCAGAAATTAATAATAATGAATGTGTAGAATAATAAATGTTCCATTTTTCTCTTTGTTGTTTAATAATTCTCCTCCTGTGTTTCTTGCTTTTGCTTTACAAAAGGACGAAGTAAGTAAAGCATTCATGGTAAAAGTTTCGATGTTTGTTTGGCTTTTAGAGCAACAAATTTGTTTGTTTGGTCATGATACGGTTGGTCTTGGCACCCGAGTCTTGGGGTTCTTCAGCAGCTGCAGATTCATAGCTTTAGCCAAGTTCACACTCACAGAGGTCACTCTGAACAATGACAGCTCTGCAGTTCACCCTTAGCATCTTTTCTATTTGATTTTTAAATAACACCTGCAGATATCGGTTTGAGGCCCAGAGCAGTATTGACTTTCTCCAGCACTTCTGCTTTCTAAAACAAGTGATGGGTGCAAGACTCTATGAAAGGCATAAAGCTGACACACTCCACCTTCTTCCTCTAACACCAATGACCCCTTGCTTTAGTATAGGAGAGGCATCATAGGGGTGGGGGTGATCACATTTAAAGCCTAGTTGAACTCTCAGTTTAAATATGCTATGTACATCCCAAAAAAACAAAAGGTGTTTATTGTCCTACAGTTTTTTCTTTTTTTCTCTGAAGCAGTTACAGCCTAGGTGGAAAAGTCTGTCCCCTGTCAGCAACTGCTGAGAAGGACTCTTGCTGTGTCTGTGTTGAAGAGGTGTTCTCTCTATAGATGTCCAGCACATTGGACCTATAGCTCTTCAATCATCGAACCGCAGCATCCTCACTAATTGGAGAGCTATAATTCAGTAAGAGAGGATTGGGGGGGGAAGAAGCGCAAGCAGACTTAAACCCTTGCAAAGAGCCTTGCTGCTTCCCATAGATTGCAAGGATCCTCCTCTGGAACACCTAGCAGGGGGCAGGCTTTTCTGTTCAGTGAGGTAACAGGCGCATGAATGAGCAGTCCACATAGTCTCTTGGATGGGTATGGGGTCCAGAAACTGACCAGGGGGGGGGGGGGGGGGTAAGCAGTTTAAATCACCAGGCAAGCTGTTATAGAGTGAAGCAATGACTCTGAAGTAGAAACACGACAAGGAGAGAAACACAGCGCCTCTGATGCAGACTGTTAAATAGTTTAATGGTTAAAACATAAGTTTAACAACTCACATGTAGACAGTAATAAGCAGGCTCATAAGGGTTAAATGTGCACAGCGCTTCGTAGCTGGGTGCAGGAATCACAGTGAGCAATGATGCCGGCTGGACAGCAGGGATAGATGGAAGAATGCCTGATGTAAAAACCAGGCAGGTCATTGGAAAGTCCGGAGCGGCGGCGATGGCTTGGGACATCAAATGTATGCGACACATTTCTGAGAATGTGCGGGATCAGATGTGAACCGGCGCACTCCTTATTCAAGCGTAGGGGAACAGTGACAAACAGGAGCCTTATATATAAAGCAGGGGGGAGTACAAAAAAAAACAAAACAAGGAGTGAAAAACTTCTGTTGGCAAACAAAAACGGGGATGCTTAAAAAAAAGCAACAATACATGGAACAATAAAGGCTAACCTAAATGATCAACAATAAAAAAATAAAGAAAAATAGCATAACCAAGAATGTACAATGTAGGAAAAAATCATAACATACAATGAATGGATGATAAATAATTTGTGAATGATGAAATAAAGGATGTAGAAGGAATACAAATTAGGAAATATTGTGAACCTAAATTAAGTAAACTAACATCTTTCAAAATAATATGGATGTATAATATTAAGAACTATATGGACATAAATATAGTAGCCATTATATGTACAGTAAATTATTTGAAAATGATAAAAAAAAAAACAAAAACTGACATATATCAGTGTTGGAGGTGAATACTGGAGATAGGTCTATAAAGGCATGTGCAGAACAAATGTGTGTCTATGTATAGAAGCACATGGTAACCAATTAATATGAATTGGTAAACATTGAGTGCTGACGTATAGGTGCCCACACATCAGCTAACGTGTATTGAAACTATATATATTGTGTTATCAGTGATATTGGTGATCCAAGTAAATTCATCCTTAATGTATCAGTTTCCAGCCAATAATTACTGGAAAAGAAGACCAGCCATAAGAGTGGACCACCCACATGGAGGAATTAAAAGGACAGGGACTTGTATGGGAAAGCAATATAATAATTATAGTGGGGAATCATCATGTGGTGTGTAATGCTAAAGATGGATAATGCTAGTATAGATGAGTGTACTTGCTATAATATGGTAGCTATCTCTAATTCCTCATTGAGGCCAGCTGGGGACAATGTGTCAAGAGTATGGATCCAAAAAGTTTCTCTATGACAGAGCTTATGAAAACCGCTCTGCTTCCTGAAGGTCCGTAGGCATGGACTCAATAACCCAGACCTGAAGTCAATAGTGCATTTGTTGTGAACCTCTCTAGGAAGTGTCTGGGAACACTATGTTCATCTTTTCCACCTTCGATTAGGTGAAGGTATTCAGCAAATCTGGAGCAGAGGTTCCGGATAGTGCGACCCACGTAAAGGAGACTGCATGGGTATGTGAGGCAGTAAACCACAAAACTGGATGAACAGTTGAAAAAATCTTTCATTTTGTAGTTCCTGCCCTTACTACTAAAATTTTTTTAGCCATGCTGGACAAAAGCTTTTACATAGGGATTTCCGACATTGGTGCTATTTTTATTTTTCAAATTGGGAGCTTTTCTATAAGTAATGGTGGGTTTGTTGGGAATAATATTTTTCAGATGGGGGTCTTCCAATAGAATGTTCCAGTGCTTTTGTAGGATGTTTTTCATTTTTCGATATTTGTCATGGAACCTGATGGTAAATCTGACTGTATGGTCAGGCTCAATGTTTGGCCTAATGGTGGTGGGTTTGCCTGGTAAGTACAAAGTATATGCTTCTTCTATTAGTGGCTCAGGGTAACCCTTTTCTCTGAATTTATTTTTGAAAGTGAGACTTAGATCGATGTAATCAGATTTTTTGGTACAGTTTTGTCGAAGGTGGCAGAATTGGCTCTTTCGTATGTTGTGTATCCATGTGGGGTAATGACAGCTCTGATAATGTAAAAAAGAATTTCCTGTTGTTGGCTTAGCGTAGTTTTTCCTGTAATTTTTCCGTTATCATGGCTCATTTCTAAATCCAGGAAGGCCAGACGATCTGGATGTTTCTCAAATGTAAAGGATAGGCCAAAGGGATTGTTGTTACAGTGGGCGACAAAATTATATGTGAGAAGTGTGGGTCCATCCCAAATGACAATGATGTCAACTATATAGCAACCAAAAAATATAATGTGTGTTGCAAAGGGATTATTATGCCAGTTATAGAGATTCTCCCAATAGCCCACGGCTAGATTGGCATAGAAGGGTGCAAAATTGGCTGCTGAGGCTGTGGCTGATTTTAAAAGAAAAATTGTAAGGCTTTGCACACTCTTTTTTTTGATGCACCTGGAATGTATTTAGCTGATTTTTATTTGGGCCTTATATATTTAGAGTAAACTGAAAATGTTCCAATTTTTTTTTTCCTGATCACTGGGTTCTCATACTGTCAGGTTGGGGTGCTGCTACATGCTGGTTTAATATTAAAAGAATAAAAAAAACATCCAGTAAGGCATAATGGGTTTCACTTGTTGTCATGGTAACCTCACGATGCACGATTGTCATTTCCGTACTTAGTGATGTTTACCATGCCTTGTTTTTTTTTTTTTTCTTTTTTATACATCCCCGTAAAACTACTCGTGTTTCATGCTTTTTCCGTACATGCTTAATGTTGCATGTTCTTTTATTGCTGTATACAGTGTGGCATCCTTTCAGAAAATGGCTTAATTCTCCCATTGTTATGCTGAATTGCCTCCTTTATCCTGTGGTGCCACCTTGTGGACAAATATTAAGATTGCATAATTCTGCCTTGCTATGATTTTGTTTTGTAACCTTGCAGGAGTGGTCTGCAGACTTAAACCGCACTCTGAGCAGAAGAGAAAAGAAGAAGCCAGGGGAAGGGGTGACTCTAACTGGAATCAGCCAGGCTGGGGAGCAGTCTGTCCAGAATAAAACACAGCAGGTAAGGACATGTGATATAGCAAGTTTATGTAATAAGGGAAAACTTCACCAACGGCTGGCCTGGGTGTCCTTTGTTAGTCTGCCTGTTTTAATAATTTGAACTTTAAATTATAAAGTTAGTCCCATCACCTGGAATCAAGCGATGCATCCATTTTTAATGTGTATGAGCAAAGTTAGCAGTGCAGTGTCCTAGCAGCAGTACGATCAGTGAAAGAGGTCTATCTGCTCAATATCATAAATAGAGGTGTAAGGAAAGAATTCCATTTAAAGGAGTCTCACGCTTGGGGTCCTGCTTGAGAAATATTCTTTATTATAGTGAAAGTGACAACAAAGGAGCAATGCTTCAGTCAAGAGTGCTTATAGTGTAGATGCCCTTCTTCTCTGCGCATTTAATGTCATACGAGTGATGGTTTTTTTCTTATTTATTTTTTTTTTTTTTTTTTTAGCATGGCAGTCCTCTTTTCCTGCCAACTCCCATCCCCTGGTGGTAAAAACTGCACTCCCCTTCCCTGATCCTCGATGATTACCAGGGAAAGAGAGACCGTTTATACAGTGGGGAAAATAATTATTTTATCCCCTGCAGATTTTGTAAGTTTGCCCACTTACAAAGAAATGAAAGGTCTAAAATTGTTATCATATGTGTGTTTTAAACGATAGAGACAGAATATCAACAAGAAATCCAGAAAAAAACACACAATACAAATGTTATAAATTGAGGTGCAATTCAGTGAGTTCTTTTTCTTCCATTCAAACCTTACCACCATGGGCAATACCAAAGAGCTGTTAAAAGAACTCGGCCACAAGATTGTAGACCTGCACAAGACTGGAATGGGCTACAAGACCATCAGCAAGAAGCTTGGTGAGAAGGAAATAACTGGTGGAGCGATTATTCACAAATGGGGAAAAAATAACCAATCTCCCTCGGTCTGGAGCTCCATGCAAGGTTTCGCCTCATGGGGTAAGGATAATCACGAGAAAAAAGAGGGATCAGCCCAGAACTAAACAGGAGGAGCTTGTGAATGATCTCAAGGCAGTTGGGACCACAGTCCTCAAACAAACCATTGCTAAACACAATATGCTGCCATGGATTGAAATCCTCCAGCGCCCTCAAGGTCCCCCTCCTCAAGAAGGCACATGTACAGGCCTGTCTGAAGTTTGCCAGTTAACATCTAAATGATTCAGAAAAGGATTTGGAGAAAGTGCAGTGGTCAGATGAGACCAGAATTGAGCTCTTTGGCATTAACTTGACTCTCTGTGTTTGGAGGAAGAAAAATGCTGACTATGACCCTCTACAGTCAAGCATGGAGGTGGAAACATTATGCTTTGGGGCTGTTTCTCTGCTAAAGGTACAGTCTGACTTTGCCGCATTGAGGGGCCAATGAACAGGGCCATTTATTGTAAAATCTTGAACCTTCTTCCCTCAGCCAGAACACTGAAGCTGGTTCATGGATGGGTCTTCCAGCATGACAATGACCCAAAACATACCACCAAGGCAACAAAGTAGTGGCTCAGGAGGAAGCACATTAAGGTCATGGAGTAGCCTAGCCAGTCTCCAGACCTTAATCCTATAAAAAATTTATGGAGGGAGCTGAAACTTCGAGTAGACAAGCGACAGCCAAGAAACCTTAAGGATTTAGAGCAGATCTATAAAAAGGAATGGACCAAAATCCCTCCTGAGATATGTGCAAGCCTGCCTGGTAACCAACTACAAGATATGTCTTACCTTTGTGCTTGCCAACAAGGGTTTCTCCACCAAATACTAAGTGATGTTTTGCTTGGGGATCAAATACTTATTTTACTCACTGAACTGCAACACAATTTATTACATTTGTATCATGTTTTTCTTTTCTGGGTTTTTTGTTGATATTCTGTCTTATTTAAAATACACCTATGATAAAAGTTATAGACCCTTCATTTCTTTGTAAGTGGGCAAACGTACAAAATCTGCAGGGGAGCAAATAGTTTTTTTTCCCCACTGTATACAGCTGTCCCTTGTGAGCTGAATCAATACAATTATAGTATATCTAAAGCCAAGACTAGTTTTTTTTTTATCATTCAGAATAGGGTAGAGTAGGGAATTCTTAAAACACTTTATCGTTTTGTTTTTTGCCAACTGTGCCACATTTGGCAGGCATAACAGAAAGTGAGATGTTGTCTCCAGAACAAGTATTCACATTGGAAGATTCCCTTCTATTCCCTGTCTGGACTCTTTTGGATTTCCCATCACGTTTAGTCCCAATTGCAGTGACTAGGACAATTTTGAGAGGGTGAATCTTTCTAGTGTGGATCCAAACAAAAATAAAAACACATTTGAAGTTCTAACGCCTCCCCACTAGATTCAAAACTAATAGACAAGTGATTTGGCTTTAGACACTCTCACAGCGTTAAGGCGCTGTGTTCATCAATGATAACAAGAGTACCAATAGCTTGTTCTGCAGTATGAAGACCCTGTCCTTCAGAGGGAAAAGTGACACCTTCTGCAGATAAGCAAATAGCACAAGCATTACACTCTGAATCTCTGATATCTGGAGTGGGCTTGGAAGTATGGTGGGAGCTGTACTATCTGGCATAAAAAAGTACAATACAGTGATATGGCCATGTGTTATACCTTAGCAGAAGTAACATTCATTTACACATCAGAACTTTCCAAGCACTTTCTTTGTGACAGTGCTTGGGCCTGGCCGTTTTATGACAAAGCACTGTCATGCAGGGAAGGTCGCGTTTTCCCCCATACCTGGAAACACCTCTCCGTTAGCAAAGACTGCAGCTTTGTCACTGCCTTAATTAGGCAGTGACAATGTCAGTCGAATATTAACAAGGACATGAAGGAAAGGGAGGGCAGATTATTAGTTGTCCATCAAAAGCTGAAAAATGGGGTGCTGCATTCATTCTGGTTCAGCAGCAGCTTTGCATTGCAAGTGCTGTCATCAGCAGCAGAGTTTTTTCATTCAAGATTCTGCTGATTTCAGTGCTCACTGCAGGCCATCACTGCTTAAGGACACATGACTCCTGCTCCTGCACCTGCTTGTTCCAGCTTTATAGCGTGTGTCTGATGACTTTACTCTATCTAGCCTGCATAATACTTTTATGTGGACCTAACATTGCAGTTTAGTTTCCATAAAAGCAACTTTGTAGCTGGAAGCATACCAGCTGGAGAGAACAACTTACAATGCATTATTTACATACCTGCTCTTTGAGGAGCCCTGCTTTCTCCTATTTAACCCATATTCATAGAACTATTCACTTCTAACCATACCCCAGACCAGGGCACAATCTGTCCCTGCCTCACACAGCTGGTAGGGGCGGTAGCAGAATAATCTGTCAATACATTTCAGATTGTGGATTGATACCAGAATGTCTGCAGGAAAGACATAAAAGGCACAAGGTGAACATAAACACTACATGCTGGCAATGTCTTTGCTGGGAATTGAAGCTAGGACCCGAGCACTGCAAGGCCACAGTACCAACTGGCATATTTTCTAAATCATTAAAAAAAAGAGAAAGCATCTCCACTTTTGGAGTTGGTACATTTCTTAAAGTTTATGTCTGGGCAAAATAAAAAAAATACACTCATACAGTACATCTTTGTAATACATACTCCTTTTAATATGTTGTCTCTTTAAAATTGCTGCACATACAGAAAAATACCTATAAAAATAAATTCAGGGGGTTCCTAATAATTTTGGGTGGTGAGCTGACAACACTGCCTGTACTAAAATCCCAAGCAGCGTTGTCAGATCACCCTTGTTTCACTACCGCACACCTCCCCCTTATGTTTTAAATTGAGGGGTTGTTTAGTAGTTAAACAGAAAACTCAGCAAACTGAGAACACTTGGTATTTTGGTATAACAGGTATTTTTTCTGTACTTTGCAACATTTTTAAACCGATAAAATGGAAACAGAATTTAAATAAATAATACATGTATTCCAGACATGTATTAAATATGATTTTTTTCCTTTTGCCCATTAGACATACGCTCTAAAATTTTCGGTTGTGTTTTTAGACGTTTCTAAGTTCAATATCTTTGATTTTAGTTTGATATGCCTGCTCTCTTCTTCCCGGTCAGCTATCTTAGCGTGCAGTCAGTACAGTCTACACAGTCGAGTAGTAATCCATTTGAAGAAGAGGAGGAGACGAACAGTATCATTGAGAAGGAGGACAGTAAAACTAAAAAGTTGGTGACCCCACGTTTCCTGTTTCATCTCCTTTAGCTTACTGTCTCTGCACTGGTTTGTCACTAGGGGGCGTATGGAGCCTGAACGGAGCACAGCGCATGATACCTGCATTCCGTCCAGTTGTCCTCTCATTAACAAAAGTGTTTTTTCCCTTCTTTTTCCAGCACCGGACACTAACACTACTTTCTCTCATTATCAGTTAACTCTGCTAATTAACTGCATCCTGGCTGGTGGGAACGATTGAGTCTTTCTAGATCACTAGCAATCCCCTCCAAAAGTTCTTATTTCTGGGGGTTGCTGGAGACCTAGCACTGATTTATTTATTTTTCCATCTGAAAATGCCTGTTTCACAGCTTTGTGTGTGTTAATGTATTTTATTTTGTGTTTCTGTTGATTGATTGAATTTTGACTTTATTGGCTTTGGCATAGCAAAAAAAAATTCAGCTTCTCAGGCTCAAATCTATTTCTAGAGGACCCACATGCTTGCCAGAAGCCATTGTACCTGCTGATGGGACCCATGTGTGTAAGAAAAAAAAATGCTGTAGAGAAAAATAGCACATTGGTTGTGCAAGACCTTGTTACTAATCAGAGGGGTCAAAATTGTCAGTTTTCCAGCATAAACCTACTGTACATGTTACTCTTTAAAGCCTAGTATGTATATGTTTTATAGTATGTCCCACTATATAAATAATAAAGTCCAAGAGACATGGTCAAGTTTCACCCTTGGGTATTCTTTCAAAGACCTCTCGTGATGCTCATTCACCAGATATTCCCTTGGCCGACCTTGCTTGTAATGTGATTTTTTTTTTTTTTTCCCCCCTGCACTTATGGCCTTGTGGCTATCAGTAGTCCCAGAACTGGTGGCATATCTTGTAAACAGCTCTTCCTTGTTCTTCATAAGGTGGTTTTGAGGCCTCGGGCCCCCTTTCTCCCCAGAATGCTTTTTCTCTCTTCCACCTTAATCAGGATATTGTCCTGCCTTCTGTTTGTCCAGCTCTAAAGCATCCCAAAGAGATTTCTCTATTCTGTTTAAATGTGGTGCACACAAGTTTTCTTCTCAGCCACTGCATCTCTCAGAAATTTAGATTAAATGTTTGTCAAGCCTGAAAGCTCACGTGAGTGGTGTCCTGTGTCTCATTCCACTATTTCTAGATGGATTAGGAAGGTTATCACTTTACACACTGGCCCCTGGTTGTATGCTCAAATTGGCACATTTGAGGGATCATTCATAGAAAGATATCACATTGAATGTGGATTTTGAGTTTTAGGCCTCATACACAATAGAAGTTTTTGCAGCTGCTTGTCTGCATTTTAGCCTATTTATCCATGCACACATAGGCTTTTAAAGGTGTTTAGTAGCAGGAGAGTTTAGGGGTAGGGAAAAAAAAAAAACTGCTAATGCGTCCAGGAGCAGCAGAGTTTGGGCAGAAAAAAAAACGCCTAATGTTCCTAAATACGTGTAAATACACATTAACGCTAGGTGCATTTAACACTTGAGCAGTAATGCATTTCAATAGCCAGAATTATTTATTCTGTTCAATGAAATTAATGCCCAAATGCTTGACATACCTAAATGCATTACACACTTTTACCAGCATCAAGCCATTTTTTTTGCCAAAATGCTGCTGCCAGTAGGAAGGGTTTCCAGGAGAGTTAAGAAAACATCCAGTGTGCATGAGGCTTTATCTTTTTTTCACTGGTGTTTAAGTGAATTGTCACTACAGGGCACTTCACTGTGTATTTAGATATACTTTATATTGTACTTGCATTTTGCCTTAAAGGGGTGTGCAACACTTAATTCTAGCTTTAAGTGAAATTATTGCATGTTTGATATATATTTTTTTTTTTTTTTTGTATGTTGATTTAAAGGGGCAGTGCAAAGTATTCAATTTCACGTTGACACTAAGGCTTATGCCTTAAAAATGCCTGATAGAAATTCCTGTTAAGGCTCACTCAACTTGTTCAGTCGGTACCTCTTGGGCTTTTCAGCATAAGCTGTCCCTGAGATTTATAAGGCCACCACCTGGTCCTCCGTTCACACTTTTGTGAAGTTTTTAAAGGTGGATGTTTAGGCCTTGTAGATGTCCGCTTCAGCCATAGGGTTCTTCAAGCTGCTCTTTGAGTTTTGCACTCTGATTCCCTTATTTTGGGAATGTTGGCATTGTTTGCTGTGTTGCCTACCCCTAAGATGTATTGTTTGGGGAAGTCTTCACTAATGGAAACCTGTGTTCTGTACCTTATGATTAAGGACATTGGTTTGCCTTTAAAAGAACACAGGCTTCATAGACCCTTGGTTTAGGCTGGTACCTTCAAGTGACTGGACTCTAGCAAAGCGTTGAAGGCCACCCTCCCTGAACATATTCCTATAACTGTACCTTACTCCTTGGGTCCTCAGTTGTTTGCTAGTGTCATAAGATGATTGACTTCTTCTCCCCTTTGGAGAATCGCTTAGTTTACCTATACTATTATCTTTGCATTCTTCATTCAAGCCGCTTAATATCTTCTATACCACAGTAAAGGCAAGGCAACTTCTGTAAAACCTTGGGAATTGTACCCACCCACCATGACAAGTGGACAGCCTGTAATGTTGCTTCTTGCACTGATTCTGCTTGGGTACTCTTCTTGGCACTTGTGTAGTCAGCAGCAATGTACTATATAGTGCCCTGGTCCATCGCTATGAAACCAAGACCCTGAAGACCCCTTTGGGGGTAAGCCCATTGTGACGGGTGAAGCCTAGACCCTTTATAGGGACCATGGACATGTACAGGTAAGACGTGGTCACCCTGTATCAGCATTATTGTAGTCCCATTGCAAGTATGAGAAACAGTGGGATTAATTTACTAAAGTTAGATTAGTGCAAAATCTAGTGCAGCTCTGCATAGAAACCAATCAGCTTCCAGTTTTTTGGGGTATTTTTTGTTGTCAAAACTAATTTGAAAAGCTGAAGTTAGAAGCTGATAAACTGCAACATGAAGAAGGGTCAGCCGCACACCGGAGGATTGATAAATAAAGTGTATATTTATTGATCCATGGGACACACAAAACACCAGGACACCACTATATTCATCAATCCTCCCGGTGTGCAGCTGACCCTTCTTCTTTTTGCATTGTGTGTGGTGGTGAGCCAGAGCCTGTACCTGTCGTGGATTGATCTGGATTGTTTGCCTGAGCGGTATACCTCTGTTCTTTAGAAGCTGATAGGCTACAATTAATCCCATGGAGTTGCTCTACACTTTATTATGTGTTCACTTCTAATAACTATCAGAAAAACAGCAACGTATTTGGAATTTAAATATCTTTTACAGTGTAGTCTTTTCAAATGCTAAAATTCAACCACTCAGAGTTTAGTCTGTTACATGTCCAGGTGATAAATTACACCACATATTACACACTTCACCCCCCTACAGGACTTTACCTTCTTCGCTGCAAGATGGTTTGCACCTTTGGTTGCTACAAACTCCTTCATGGGCATGCGTACCCCATTTCTGCACCCTTCTGAGAGTACTCTGTAGAAAGAAGTACTCTATGCAGCAGCATTGGCAGAATGCGGTGCAAGGAAGCCATGGCAAAAGCTCAGGCAAACATTCTCCCTACTCCAGGCCTGCAAAACATTTAAATTCCTTGCTTCCTTTGCACTGGAGCAGGACTCTATTTTAACACAGTTTCTGTATTTGATTCCAGTTCTAGTTCAGACGCGCAACAAGAAGCCTCCCTAACTAAGGCAGTCTTTTCTGCAACTACGTAACAATTTCTCTGACAACTAACGGGTTTAATACAGCCATCAATGTCCAGAGGTCAAAAATTCAAGACTCCTTCTCCAGCTCCACTATCTTTGACTCTTCTAGGTCAGGCATATTGGGTTCTGACTCAGGTAGACATAGAAGGGAATGAAGAGAACCCAGAAGCAGTGTCAGAGGAAAGACGCAGCAGATTTCTCACTTTCAGGTTCCTATACACCTGATATTGCAGCTTCAGGCAATACACCTGTCAATGTTGATATGCTCACTTTCTGTGCGGAAAAAGCCTCTGCGTTGTCATATTTGATTTTCCTCCACATTGCCATGCCCTTTTGGGGTCAAAGAAACCACCTAAATCTCAAGACATCCCACATTCATGAACAAATAGAATGGGCACTCTGTGATGATTGGATTAATCCAGAAAAATTTCACCCCTTCGAGAATCATTGCTGAGCTTTATTGAAAAACGATTCACAAAACAGTAGTTGACCCTGCTGTCAGTCTTAAACCTCTCACTGTACCAGCTGAAGATGTTTCTTCATTCAAAAATTCTGCTGGAAGAGAGTTTGAGACACTATTAAAGGCTCTCTTTACTGCCAGACTGAAATGAAAAGGAGTAGGTCCATGTACAGCCAGCACAACCCTCTAATCCAGGACTGCTATTAGAGATTACCCTCTGCCTTGCGCTTCTGTAGATGTGTGCCCTACCTTGTTCTAGGGCACAAAACACAACAGCTCTGATCTCTGTTCACATGTGCCCTGAAGCTACCTGTAAAAGATACATTGCACGTATGCCCTTTGAAGGAGGTAACAAAAAGGAAAGACCTTTCTTCCACAGTGGAAGACTCCAAAGCTCCCTTTCTCCAGGGCTTCAATCTCCTAAAAACGCACATCACTTCAGCAAAAATCAGCCCTTCCTTTCAGCACAAGACTTGGAAAACAAAATCTACCAAGTTCTTCCTCCATACCTTTTTCCCAGTGAATGTGCACCCTCACTCCAATGAGTGGCGGGACGTTGGTCACAGGTTTCCTAGCTCTAGGTTACAGACTTCCCAGACCCGTGGTTTCAGAGAGTAACAAAACTCCATCCTTGACTGTTTTCTTATTTCAAACCAACCAAAATATGCCCGATATGAAGTCTTTTCCCAAGGAGTAGTTGTTCTAGCACCACTGCAAGACAGATTCAAAGTATCCTGTTCATATCTGTTCACTGTGCAAAAACCCGGTGGAGGTATTTGTTCTATCCTGGACCTAAAATGCTTAAACAAATACCTTCAAATTCCAAAATTTCACATAGAATCTGCAAGCTCACTTAGGCATCTTGGATATCTATGGATGCTTAGTATTCCCCTCGTCTTAGCGATGCAATATCTGTATGTTCCCATTTATCCACCTATCTGTCTCCTTCTGCATATTGCAGAAAGCACTATCGCTTCCAATTTGGTCTTTCCTTTGCTCACAGCGTATGCCCAGGGGTGTTGACATCCATGTCACAGGTCATCTAGACAATCTTCTGTTTAAGGTCTCCTCTCCCTTTCACCTATCTGCAAACATACACAGGATCATCCAATGCTTCAGGCTTGGCTGAGTGATCAACTTCCAGAAATCTGCTCTCCAACCTTCTTTCGACTGGAATTCTTGAACTTAATTTTAGACACAAGCAAAATCTTTCTTCTAGACTTTCTAACGCCACAATTGTTGGCATGGAACAAACTATAGACCTTTCCATGTTCCTATCCAACCAGTCAAGGAACTTCCTAGCTTGATGGATTTCCAACCTAGCCTTGACATTGGGTAAGTCGTTTCTGCCATTTCCCTAGAAGATGATAAAAACAGATGTCAGCCTCTCTGAGGCTGGCCATTTATCTTTAGACTTTCTGGTTTAAATTTGTTAGGGAATGATCTGACAATGCAGATGACCGATCCTCTTCTGGCTCATTTACTTGAGTATGTAAATTTCAGATGTTGAGCTCTGAAATTCCTTATAAGAACAGAAAACCTCACCTGCTGGCTGAATATTAAAATGGAAAATACATTTTTTATATTTATATGGGGAAAAAAATTCTAAATTGTATTTTAGTCCTGAGCATTGTAAACAAAAAAAATATACTGTATACCAAACCACTATATGTTCCCCTTTAAGTCTTAAAACCTTTAAAGCTGAAAAGGCTGTGAAACTTATAGTCCAATCCCCCCCCCCTCACACAACAAGGTTTACAGCTAATTTTTTCTAGTTCGAACAGAAAAGGCTACTATTCTTGGCTTATATATCACTCCACCTGCTGCAGCTGGTGCTTTTCTACTCTCATGGACAACCTTGGGTTGTGCGCAGGCCCTTAATGTTCTCACAGTGCAGGATTGCTAGCTGCTCTTGTGACCTATGGTTTTGGGAGACCAATTGTGCAATTGGAGGAAGCCTGCAGGAGCCAGGAAAAAGGTAAGTATACTTGCTTTTTATGTTCCTCCTAAACATAATAAACCGTTCACACACCAGAGCATGGTGAGGGAAAAGCACGTTCCATGTGCATTTCCAGCACTGGGTTCAAAATGCACTGTCTTTGCGATTTGCTGCAGGTGCCAATACCTTGTTAATGGCACTGCAAAAACAGTTCTGTGTTTTACAGTACCATGCGATTTTGGTGTGGCTTGTTTTTTTAAGAGTTGTGTGTGCACTACGTTTTTGTGTATTCGGGTGCAATTTGCAGCCCATTCGATGGAATGGGCTGCAAAATCGCACTGCAGGGGAACACATAGGAACCGCAAAGGAACTTGGCCCACTGTAAGGATAATTTTTTTTTTTTTTTTTTCTTGGGGTTTTGCTTTAAAGTTTAGCGATTCTGTCATGTTTTGTATGCATAACTAAAGCATTATTTTTATCTTTTTTTCCCCTTAATTGGAGAGCTTCAGGTGCAAAGAATTTGTGGTCACTGTATCTGCATAAACAACATTTAAATAACAAACTTGTTTGTATTGATTGATCACAAGTGTAAGGTAGCAGAGCTCATGTTGATCTTGCTGCAGAATACAGCATGTTGTGATCTTGTGCACTGCTTCTACAGATTGAGTTTTGCTTCTCCCTTCAGCATCATGGAATACTTACCAATTCTTTTCTTGTGTTCTAGTGTTAGCAGCTATGAGAAGACTTACCCCACCGAATGGTCTGATGATGAATCTAATAATCCCTTCACCAGCAATGATGCCAATGGAGACAGCAACCCATTTGATGAAGAACCTTCAGTCACAATGGAGGTCCGAGTCCGGGCACTCTATGACTATGAAGGTCAGGAGACGGATGAGCTAAGCTTTAAAGCCGGTAAGGAAATTGTTTGGAAAATTTTAGAACCCTAATCATCTCTCCTGCTTGCAGTTTGAGATGGACATAACTGAGGATGCAGCCTACCTATCCACTGGAGACTAGTGACATCAAAGATAATGCAGCCTGTCCATGTTTCAAAAAAATTACATAGCTGAGAATGCAGTCTATCCATTCAACCGAGAACACAGACATTGCTGAGAATGCAGACTATCCATTCACTAGAGATAAGCAACATTACTTTAGAATGCAACCTATTCAATTACTAGAGATTTGTGACATATCTGAGAATGCAATAGAGAACAGAGACATCAAACTAAGAATGAAGCATTTCCATTTCCTATCGACCAATGATATCACTAATGATGCCTTTTGGCTTTTCTCCATTACAGGTGAGGAATTGACGAAAATCGAAGACGAGGATGAACAGGGTTGGTGCAAAGGCCGTTTGGATGGTGGACAAGTGGGCTTGTACCCTGCAAACTATGTGGAGGCAGTGCAGTGACATTCAAGCCCCTTCCCCTCCCGCCTCTAGCGTGCACCTAGTTCTCGTAATGACCTGTAATCTGTTCACTGGGAGTTCAATGCAACATAACCTGTATATATTATTATATAAGGAAGATATGGTTGACTCTAGGAATGAATTAACCTACATTCAATAGAACTGGGAATCTTGATGTTTTTGATTTTAACTTTTTTTTTTTTTCTTTCCCTCCCATTTTTCAAAGCCAAGGCACTGTTACTTTTAACAGTATCGGTCTTTTGTTTTGAAAAGGGCCCATTGCAATTAAGTGCAAAATCAGCACATCGAGGAAGCAACAGTCCTGCTTGTTTCTTGCTGTATTTTTTTTTTTCCAATTTAACTTTATTTTTATTGGTCGCTGTTGTGGGCAGTGCCTTGCATTGATCCTGCTCGTTCACTTCTTAGTATGATTTGTTGGAAGTGACCTTTTCTGTAATGTGGATTATATATTTTTTTAAGCGTTGCAGTTCTGTAATTTTTTTTTCTTGTTTTTATGTTTTTTTTTTTTTTTTTTTTGTCTTATTTAAAGGTGGGCAGAAAAGTGTTTTTTTGTTTTTTTTTTTTTTTTTTCTGCGGAAGGGTGGAGGTTTAGATGCTCAATTTTGCATTATAAAGCATACATTTTTGTGCTCAGTTTTATCTTATAAGGCAGCCATGTGACTCCTTTAGTTGGCAGCCCAGCCTTAGGTAATAGAAGGATAGTGTTGTATTTATCTAGAGTCTGTTACAGGAAATTGTGGCAGACCCTAAAATCCTATTGCTGGGTTTACGTCATTAAGGGCGTTATTTATTATTGTTTTTGTTTTTTTATTTTCCCCAGTTTAGCAGCCAAATTGGCTTTTGTATGTAGAATCCTAAAGTTGCCCTTTTTAGCGTTTCATTTTTCCAATTTGTGTTCTGTCATTGTTTCAGCTTATTCATGTTTCAAAATAAAATCCTGATTGCTTAATTCTGGTCCTTTTAAATGACGTTTGCAGGTGAAACATTCCGTATTTATATTCCAGAGCCTGGTGAGGGTTTAAACCTCTCCCTACTCCAAAGATTGAAAAAAATGTGACTTTACATACACTTTATTAATTTTTCCGGCACATTTGACAGAATAAAAGCTCTGTTGGGGTCAGATGGAGGACCATTTTTTAATTTCCCTCCCTAACTGCTGAAATCCAGCAGCAGGTAGGTTTCCGGGACCAGTCAGCTTGGGTTGTGGAATGTGCAGCCTGGTTACTTCTTTAAGCTGCTACTTGTTCCTAAACAGAGACCCCTTTTTTCTTCTGCAAGTAGGTCAGTAATGCTGACTGGATGGAAGAGATTTACATAGTAACTAAAAACAGAATGTTTATTATTCAGTGACTTTTTGTTTTTCTTTAAGTCATTAATATGTCTTTAGATCATCCAATCAAATTTCAGGTGACTTTCCTGTTGGTCTAAAGCAAAAGTATTATGAAATTCCTAGGGCCAACAGAGAAATTTAAATATTTAATCTATGCTTCTAACGCTGGGAAAGGGCTTTTGGTGTATTTCTTTTGTTCCACCTTCCGTAGACTTTATGCAGAAAAATTAATAAAAAAATAAACCTTAGAGCTGTTCTAGTTTTACAAATGTTGACTTAAAAAAAAGCTACATATGTGTCAAGACTTTCTTCATGTCGTCATCTACTGTACAAGTACCCAAACGCTGTGTTTAGAGTAATGTGCGTTTGTGTGTCTATGAATAAACAAAATATAACTATTTATGCCTCTATATCTAGATATATTGACCATTTTTTGACTAATTCCGAAGAGAATCCTTTAAAAGCGCATGTTGTCTCGTGAATTTCATGACAGACTATGCCTGGAGACTGTTATCGATTCTAGATCTTCGATCCTTCCTAGTTTTTTTGCTGTATCATAGTCTTAAGTATTCTGTGATTCTGAAAAAATTTTAGTAATAAATTACAAAAAAAAGTGTTGTGACATGTACTTTTGGAATTTGGTGAGATGTACTGAATAAGCTTTTGTTTTGAGGGTTCCATGTGGATTTCCTGTAGCTAAACACTGTATAGTCTTCCACAGCGCCTAAATGGAAAGTATCCGGAAAGGCTGGTCTCATAAAGCAGAATTCTTTTTCCTGATGTGGTCAGAGAAAGATCACCCTATGAACTTGTACATCGGTAAATCTCTGATCTACAACCACTCTCATTGTAATACAGTGGATTCTTGGTGATCAGGCTGGATCCCTGCTCTGTATCATAAAGCCCAACTGAAATTTAGTTTAAGGGCCTGTGTTGATGGGATTTGGCCATGTCTCTCTGACTTTATTTTAAGATGCTTCTGAGATCATTCAGAAGTCATTGAAAAGTGCATGTGAAATGCAGCTGACCTACTTCAAGCAGAATTTGCATTTCCATAGACTAGGAATTGAAAAATTATGAACAAAAACCTGTCAACACATGCCCTATATCAGCTAATTACGTTTTAGGTGTTAAATAAGAAATATTTGTACAAAATCTAAGTTTTTCTTTAGAGTATAAAAATCTGTCCCTGCTATGAGGCTGCAGAATAAGGGCCCTTGGTCTCGCTCTGTGTGGAAGCAGTGGTTTCTCTGTAGAGATCCTACCCACCCTTGATAAAGAGCTAGAACTCTCCAATAAACAGGGGGCATGAGAATTACTGATTTGCAAAACTTATAGGTCTGACAAAGCAGGGGGATGTTGGGACTCTGCAGAGAGAACACAGCTTCTGTATTGAGAGCAGGGAGGGTCATTTCCTGCAACAGGCCATTCTACTTGTCTTGTGGCCTGATACTTTGCTTACCGTTTGTTCTGATACACCTTCAATGCATCTAGCTGATTTAAACTTACAGTTGGAATTTAGCAGGTGTGGTTTCACTCTTAAAACACCAGCCTCTACCCAAAACTGATATTTTGAGTTACTCAAGAGTTTCTAATATATCTTAGGGTGAGTTCCAGCGTCAAGACCCAGTTGCTGGTGTTCCAATCTCAACTCACTTCCTTTCTATGGAGCCCAACTCCTCTCACTGCAGCAAGAGCAGACTTACTACTGCTATAGAGTAGGACTTTTCCTCTTCCCACCTCAGCAGGAGTCACCTTCTCTCACTGCAATGGGAGGAGTTTGATTCTCTATCTACTAACTGCATCTTTAAACCTCAAACAGGGAGAGACTGAGGCCTTCCTTTAATTTCTATGACGAGTGGGCCAAGCTGGAAACTTTGACCTAAATTTTTGCTGGGTTTCCTGTAACGTTATGGTTAATGCTTAGTGTTGAGTAGACTGACCCTTTTAAATCCTTGCCCCTTTTAGGAGCAAAGTGCTTTTTTGGGGGCAGAAGAACAAATGTGATCTGAATGGAGATGCTCAAAAACACCATACATGCAGCATGAGAGAAGTCTCCTGTTCTATTGATGTATTACTGTCTATAGCATAATGTTTCTATTTGCATTTAATGGAAAAGCTGTTGTTGAGGAAAGTCTTTACTGCATACTATAGCACAAGTAACTGTACACAGAGCTGATTGTGGTATATTCGGTAAGTTGTGCCACACAAGGAACATTTTGGCTGTAATCTTATTAAAGGAATACAAATATATTTTATTCAAATTCTCCCAGTGTGTGTCTGTTGTTATTTAGCATGCTGTTTTCTTTGTGTATTCTTGTCTGTGTGACAGATACTGTATATGCATTGTACACTCACCAGCCACTTTATTAGGTACACCTGTTGAATTGCTTGGTAACACAAATTGCTAATCAGCCAATCACATGGCAGCAACGCAATGCATTTAGGCATGTAGACGTGAGGACAGCTTGCTGAAGTTTAAACCAAGCATCAGAATGGGGAAGTAAGGGGATTTAAGTGACTTTAAATGTGGCATGGTTGTTGGTGCCAGATAGGCTGGTCTGAGTATTTCAAAAACTGCTGATCTACTGGGATTTTCACATACAAACATCTTTTAGGGTTTACAGAGAGTGGTCCGAAACAGAGAAAATATCCAGTGAGCGGCAGTTGGGTGGACAAAAATGCCTTGTTGATGTCAGAGGAGAATGGACAGACTAGTTGCTGAGACATTCAGTTGGTAGGATCAGTAAACATGAAAGCATCTATCCATCCTGCCTTGTATCAACAGTTCAGGCTGGTGTAATGATGTGGGGGATATTTATTTATTTATTTATTTTGGCACTAGCCAGGTATACCTAATAAAGTGGCTGGTGAGTGTTTTATATACATTATATATTTTTGGAGTAATTGTATGGGAAGGTAAACCAGGATCTCAGCATATAAGTACATCATTACAGCAGACCTGAGGACAGGAACACACAGGTACAGTACTCAGCATAAATGAGTACACCCCAACAGATTTGTTAATTTGCACTCAAAAAAAATTTTTTTTCCCAACATTCAATCAAGACCATGTTGCAAAAATGAATACACCCCAATGAAAGTCTTAGGACCAAAGCTAAATTTTAGACAAAATCCTAATTAACAAGAATTCAACTACAGGTGAGTCTAATTATTCATCAAACAGGTGTCCAACAGACAGTTGATTATAAAAGGGCATTACTTAACCACTTGCCTTCCTGAGGATTTACCCCCCTTCCTGACCAGGCCATTTTTTTTTTTGCGTTACTTTGACAATTGCGCAGTCATGCAGCGCTGCACTTAAATTAAATTTCCGTCCTTTTGTGCCCGAGTTGAGCTTTCTTTTGGTGGTATTTGATCTTCTGTACGTTTTTTTTGCACTATAAACAAAAAAATACCGACAATTTTGAGAAAAAAATATTTTAGACTTTTTGCTATTAAACATGTCCAGTAAAAAAATTTGAATCAAGTTTAGGTCAAAATGTATTCTGCTTCATGTTTTTGCTAAAAAAAAAAAAAAAAAAAAAAAAAAACCAATATGGTGGTATAGATACTGGGATTTTTTTTTCTACTAGTAATGGCGGCGATCAGTGACTTTTAGCGGGACTGTGGCGCCCATTCTGACACTTGA